TCTTCTGCACTATACGTTTTCACAAAATCGCATAAGTCGATTACCTTCAAAATGTTCCTTTTAAAACTAGATACAGAGTAAAACTAAATGAGCCATAACTTTTGTGAATATATAGCTCTGAAATATTAATTTCGGCCGTATGAAATCCATTGTTTAGTTTTGAAGTAGATTATGCACTATATTTAAATAATCTCAAATATCTCATWATTAGCTAGATAGATTTTTTCAAAAATCCCCACAAATGGAGGCATTTAGTATATAATTATGTGGTACGAAGCATTTTAGTGTTGAACGCTCTGCAAGGCTAAAATTATTTTTTAAACGAAATCAAATATTTCATCCTAATCACGTGTTATGACGTCCGATCTCATAAAAAACTGCATCAAACATTAATTCAATCTTTATGTGACTTATGTGCAAAAAMGATTTGCAATAGGTTAAAAGACGTTTATGCACTAGCGTTCCAAAAGTGGAAGGTAGCGGTCAAGCGTGAGGGGGTCGAGCCACCTTAAGCTTCTCGTTTACGGCAAACGTGAAACGTCAATTGACCATTAAAAAATTCTTTAAAATTAGTGAAAAGGAATCGAAATGATCTCCAAGTAGTAAATAAAAATAAGAATATGTGTCTTTGTCGAGAAGGTTTGCAAAGGGTTAGGTGAATTGTAGGGAAACGATGAAAACGTGATCACGTTTGCCGTTTGCGGGAAGAAAAAACGGGAATTTTAATCTGCCTATTATCCAAGAGCAAACGCCTATTGTATGACTCTTTGGCCCTTTTTATGTTATCAGTGACACGTTTCCTAAGGCAACGATAGTTGTTCCACATTTCAAGTCTACCTCGCCTTTTTAAGAAAATTATCACGCTGACAAATGTCGCTTTTTATGTCGCTATTCAACCAAGCACAATTGTCTATACCGAGAATACGCTTCTGTATAATAGGGGCGTGCCGATCAGCGACTGAAACAAAGGTGGATTTAAAAACGTGCCAAAAATCCTCAACAGGAATCTCGTTTACCTCGCCATCCGGAATACTCGTAGGGAGATGTTTATGGTTACACTGCATGGAACCCCCTGTCTATGGGGAGGTGCTTAAGGGTACCCTAGGACCCCTGTCTGTGGGGAGGTGTTTTTGTGTACCCTAGGACCCCTGTCTATGGGGAGGTGTTTTGGGGTACCCTAGGACCCCTGTCTGTGGGGAGGTGTTTATGTGTACCCTAGGACCCC